ATATGGTTCATGGGGTCACGAAGAGTCGGACACGACTTAACGACTGAACAACAACAATCCTCTCTACTTTTCCCTAATTTTCTGCAGGTATATTCATGGGGCAGTAATACCTTTGGACAGCTAGGTCATTTAAATTCTCCAACCACAATCCCTCGCCTTGCAAAGGTAATTCTGATTGTCACAAACTTCTTTCCAGAATAATTATCTGTAATTTAGACTTGCATCACCATATTTGCTTTTTAAAAAGTTTGCCAATACCGTGATATAAAAGAAGACAATTGTGGAGACTTTTCAGCTGGGCTTCCCATGGTTTCCAGGATCCTGCTGCTTTCTCAAATATAGGAATCTTGACCTAAGAGAATCTTCCTGTCTCTTTAGAACATGGTGCAAGGTCAGGAACAATCCCTAGCTATACTTCCCATCTGCAGCTGTTGAATGGTGATGTGTGATTTACCTTGGCATTTTTCCTTGTGAGTCTGTATGAAAAATGGCAGGAGAAGGGAACTAGAGTAGTCAGGAGCGCAAACACTTTGTAGGGAGAAAAAGGTAAAATGTTTGGGACTCTGGGTTGAAGAAAAGATGACTGAAAGGGGCCATGACTGAGGTGCATAAAATCATGCATTTAAAGTAGGTATCATTCAGTGAAACTGATTGGAAAGAGTTTTGGAGCAGATGAAAGCAGACACTTGTTCATTCTGAACATAATTACCCCATTGAGTTCGTTACCACAATCTGTGGCAATGGACATTAACTTGAATGGCTTTAAAGGGAAAATTGGATAAATTCACAGAGGGCAAATTTATCAAGTACAATTGGACTTGAAAACTAAATGTTGCATTTGGGTTGAGAGTAGCATTTTTCCAAATTCCAGTTGTAGGGATGAAAATAACAGTTGCCATAGAACAAAGTGGGAGAGGGGCATGTCTCCATCTCCAGTTTCCAAGCATTCAAAAGACATGTTTGGACCTTGTGATAGATTAAGAGGGGTCTTGGCCTGATTTAGCAGGGCTGTTCTTATATTCCAGCATTATGTTTTTATGTCTTGCTAGATATGTGATGATAACAGAATTTGGAATATAGCAGCAGGTCCAGACTATTCCTTATTCCTAGTAGATGGAGAAGATTTTCAGCCTTCATTATACTATAGTGGCCAAGAAGAAAAAGGAGAGGGTGGTGTTTCATCTGAAAATAACTGCCTAAAGAGTCCAACACTGTTACTAAACTCTAGTAAGGTGAGTATTACTTTTCGGTCGATTTCCTATAAAGCTTTAGAACATAGGAATGTGATGCTTAGTCTCGCATTCCATTCCATGTCCGATGGAAAATCATTTCCAGTAGAAACCCCCAGCAAAAATAAGACCTGTATTGTAATTGACTTACAAAATAACAATCCTCTGTGCCACAGCTGCAGCCTTCTACTTCTTGTCCAAATTTTGCCTGCTAGAAGAAATATTACATTTTCCATTATTGTTTTCAGCTGAGATGCTACAGTGTTGAGAATCTAATAGAGATACTACCACTGGTAGAAAATGTTAACAGTAAAGTCACTGTTACTATGCAGTGTTTTCTGTGACCTGTAGAAGATGACCTTGAAATGTGTCTTGTGAAATCAGTTGTGGCACGTGGCATTTTGTCTGTGCCTCCTGAATGTAGTCCTGATAATTTATTGGGGAGAGGGAAGAGAAAAGAAAAAGGGGATCAGTGAAAATGTAAGTACAACATAATTTCCTTAGATAGTAACCTTAAACAAAGCAGTAGTTAAATGCCACACAGACATTCTTGCATTTAATAGCTAAGGAACGTATGTAATAGGACAGGAAATTCTCTCTATTTAGTTCTTGAGAAATAATGTTAAATCTCCTGATTAATTCTGAATCTTCTTAAAGTGGCTTCTTTGTGATTAATGACAGAATATCCTGGGAAGTTAAAAAGTTCCCCCATTGCTTCTTGGATATTGCCATTTCTGATGTTAGGTTTGTGTCTGTTCTTTTAAATAGACATAGCTCAGTTGGTAAAATGTAAAGTTAATAAATGTCAGGGGATTGTAACTGAAAACATTTAGAGGGTTAACATCACTTCAAACTGCTATTAAAGAAATTTAATGATATCAGAACTGAACTCTTATTTTTCTGAGCCTAGTTTTAAAAAAAAACATATTCTAACAAAAAAAGCCAATATATATTCATGTTTTGTAAAGCATTTGTTTCAATTTACTGGCCTGGTGTTTATACAGTATTGTTGCTTTCCTTGAAACTACGGATAGTTCTCAGCTTACATCCATTCGTTTAGTGACCATTCAAAGTTATGGCGGCACTGAAAAAATGGACATACAACAAGTCTCCAAAGTTCTGGTCATCGCGGCAACAATGTCTGGGCCTCCCGAGCCCTCCCACAGTCTCCCAGGACCTCCTGAAGTACCCTTGCGTTCCTTACCTGGGACTCCCACCACTTCCCGCTTAACGACCCACACATCTTGGGTTAGAATGGGATTGCTGTTGCTAAGTGATGCGGTCACATGATGTTGCACTTAACAACCACATCACTTAGCAACAGCAGTCCCAGTCCCAATTGCTATCGTAACCCAAGGACTACCTGTAAATCATAAACTAGTGAACATCCTCTTCCCCTTTTTTCTTTTCCTCCTATGCCTGAGTTTGGTGTAAATGTTCTGGCTTATTAAACATGGCTTTGTATGACATTCAGTCTGGGAACTTGTGCCCACCATTGTTTTACAGAGTACAAAGGTACTGCAAAACTTACTAACACTTGATGTAGGAAACAATAGAAAGGAGGCAAGATAGACGAAGAAACAATATGTGACTGTTTTAGTTTCATATCCTTAACAGGCTTAGTTGTAGTATGGCATGGAAAGTAGGATGTTGAACCAAAAGCTTTCTGGAAAAGGATGGTTTTGGAGAGGGATGTAGAGAAAGTGAGTCTGGAAAATAGGTCCAAAAGCATCAGCAAGAAAGCAGAAGGGATAAAATCTTCTGAAGGAGCTTAATTGATATCTTTGAACATCACTGGAATCTGATTTCACAAGCCAGACTATCTGTGTCAAACCTGGGCATTTATGGATAGGATCAAAGAAGAAGCATACAGGTAGAGTTTATGAGATCTGAGACTTTTATTGATGAATCTGGTCAGTATAATAAATGCCTCAAGTATTATTGTTGTACATAATACACATACCATGATTTAGAAACAAGGGTATAATAAGTTATGTTAACGTTGTATGTGCACATTGTAGAGTTTATTTCACTGTGTAAAGTGGTAAAGTGGAAGAAGCTGATATCTACCAGAACATAAAACAGGACTAACCTTGAGACTTGTCTTGAGAGATTTTGAAAATAATGTATCTTCCCTCCAGCTAGGGTATATTAGCAGCGTGACAACAGGTGGAAATAAGTGTTTGGCTTTAGTGGACAAAAACATTATGGGGTACATCGCTAGTCTTCACGAGTTGGCTTCAACAGAGAGAGAGTTCTACTCTAAACTGAGTGCTATAAAATCTCAAGTTCTCCGACCGCTCTTGGGATTTGGTAAGAGATGTTTTTACTGCGTTGTTTTCAGTCCCTGACTTCTAAAAATCACAACACGTGATTTTTGGGTTTTTTTCTTGGATAAGAGTGCCACTGTATTTTTGTCTTCTGTTTTGCTCTGTATTCAGACCACTCTAATAGTGCCCCCCTACTCAGTCATATATTGTGCTGGATGAAAGACTGTCAGCCCTCGAGGTGGGCCAAGTCAGGAAACAAACAGTGCAAGGAGTACAGGAATGCTCTATTATTGTTCTAGGGTAACAGAGACTTAAAAGCTTGCCTGAGTTTCCCTTTATACCAAACAGAATCAAGGCAGGGGTATTTTGAGTTTTTTTCTCACATTTTTCCCTTTCCCAGCTGAAGGAGAATTTTGGGAGTTCATGAAACAGTCCCATGTACTTCAGCGTTCAGTATTTTTGAATGTTGAAGTCTCACGGTCCTCACGGTCTCTTCTTCCTCATTTTCCCTCATACAACCTGACCAAATGTTTCCCATTTTCCAAATTAACACACTAAATCATGGGGAAGACACAGGTCTTGCCCTGCTAGCCAAGGGTGCATTCCCTCAGAGGCTCACCTTGCAGCTGTGGGACTCAGACTGGCATACCCACCAGCCACACACACAAATGGGCAAAGCAGCAATCTCCCCCAGAGGTATCCCTTGACCCCGTTCCTTCGAGGGCAGTGAGGTGGCAATCTCCCCCAGAGGCATCTCTCAGCCACCCAGGCTCACAGTCAACAAAGGCAGCAGGGCTTTTCTAGGTACCCTCCTCCATATACTCACAGGGAGAGGAATGTCCTTGGATGTCCACTCATCATGTACTGCCACTATGGTCCTCTAGGGCAGCATCCACAGACCCATGAGGAAGGGGCGACAATCTTGTCAGTTAAGCTCCTCAATGTGAGGTGTTTGGTTCTTGCTGTGGAACCTCAAATGTAGTTTCTCTGTATCTGGAGTATCTTGGTTCTGATGCCAATTTGTAGTAGAAAATATTTCCCTTGTTTGAACCAGAGACTAAAACATATTACATTGAAGCACACATTGGTTTATTCACAGTACTAGAGACAAATAAGAATAAAAAATAATAATTTATTAAATTTAAATGCTGCCCAATTCCCAGAGACCCAGTAAAGATAAATTTGAAGAGGGGTGGGGTTTCAGTCCTTCTTTATAGGTTTACGTAAATTTAAAATATTATTTGATTGGATATAGCAGCCAGGAATTTCATTGACTATACTACATTATGTGCCTAGTGAGGCCAGTGAGGCCATTAGAATGTAACTATGAGGTAATGGGGCAGGACTACAAAGACAATGAGGTTTTGAAATAACAAAGGGGCAGTATTCCGTGAACATAATTTCTTTCCAGGGAGTTCCTTTCTGTTTTCTCTCCCAGAGCTCTGCTCACCTTCCAGGATCTTTTCTCAGCATATTGTGATGCCTTGGCTTTCTAAATGTTCTTGTGTCTGAGCTGACATTTTTAGATTCCTTGAAACAGTGTTTTTGTAATAAGGGTAGGGGCTCATTTTGGCACCAAATAGCTGAACCAGTCCTTCTTCTCTCTTAGGAAGTTGTATTGGGGTTAGGGGCTTTTAACTTGATCCTCCCAAAATTCTCCTTCGTAGGACAAAGTTGTCATTTCTCTTCCCTTAACAGCTCCTACACACCTTCATCAAAGTTATTTCTGCATTCCTCTGCATAGACTCAGAAAAGGAAAACTGCCTTTATTTCCTGTGGCAGGAAATAAATCCTATTCTGTGAATTACAGTGGTACCTCAGGTCACGAACTTAATTCATTCCGCAACTCTGGTTGCAACCCAAATTGGTCGTGACCCGAATCAAATTTCCCCATAAGGTTCAAAGTAAATACGGTTAATCCATTCTAAACCATATGTATTTTTTTTTAAAACCACAAAAATATGAAACAAAGTATAG